ATCTTGTAACTTATTGCACAAAGAAAAAAAGATACTTTGCTCATCTTTGATTGGCATGAAGTTACCTGAAGGTTTTTGCTCTAACGTCAAGAGTCTAATATCGATGGAAAATCTTCGAGTTGTCGGGATGAAGTCTCATGATTGTCATACAATGTTGCATCACTTGCTCCCCATTGCAATACGATCGGTGTTACAAAAAGATGTGCAGTGCACTATTATTAGGTTTTGCCTCTTCTTCAAGGCAATTTGTAGTAAAGTCATTGAGGTCAATAAATTGGAAAAAATGCAATCCCAGTTGGTAGAGACTTTATGTTTGCTTGAAAAACATTTCCCTCCTTCTTTCTTTGATATAATGGTCCATCTATCAATTCATCTTGTGAGAGAAGTCGAGCTTTGTGGGCCAGTTTGGCTACGTTGGATGTATCCTTTTGAAAGAGAAATGAAGATATTCAAGGGATATGTACGCAATCGTGCATATCCTGAAGGTTCAATTGCCGAAGCGTATATTGCAGAGGAGGCAATTGAGTGTTTACTGAGTTCTGAAGATTGTACAGTAGGATTGCCAAAACATTTCCAGGGTGCACAATCTAGACCCCTATCTGGTGCAACGATGATCACACCGACCAATAATGACTTGCACCTAGCACATTTGTGTTTCCTCGAAAACTGTGATGATGTCCAACCATACTTTATGTAAGTATTTTTTTTTTAAATTTTGACAGTTACTTCGCTTTCATTCTTCTTTATAATATTATTAAAGAATAAAATTGTTTCAGTGAACATATGGGTGCTTTGGTGAAAACGTATCCACAACGTTCTAATGATGAGGAGTGGCTCAAGAACAAGCAAAACGAAACTTTCCCGGGCTGGTTTCGTAGAAAAGTAAGTACAATCTGTCATCATATAGTATTTGTGCAGATTCTTAAATAAAATAGCAAAATTTGAAGTTATTGTACTTGTGGTACTTCGTTTGGACAGATTTCAACAGACTTGCTTGTGGAGAATAATACGGTATCAACGGAACTAATGTGGATTGCAGAAGGGCCTAACAAGGATGTACCCACTTTCAGTGGGTATAAAATCAATGGTGTGACCTACAGCACCAAAGAACGTGATGATATGCG